GATACTGTAATAACAACTAATTCGCAAAAGTATAAAACTTTATAAAATATCCAATAATTTCCTCGATGAACGTAACAATATTATAAACGTTTTTATTCTTTTTTTTCATATACTTTTACTAAATGTATACAGAAAATTCTAAGGTAATATCTACGAGTTTAGGACTACTTATTATAAAACGATATTACTTTAATATCTATATAAATAATACACTTGCGTTTGTCTGTCAGGAACCTTTCTCGAAAATTTTTCGATCCAATGCTACAAATCTCATACGTTTGTTCGAGGAACCCGGATTGCATATTGGCTTTTAAATTCAGAATCACCTTACATGGCTTTTGTTTAATCAAACTCTTCAATGCAACGAGTATGGTACACGATGGTGCAATATCATTGTCATCACCGTGATGACTGGTTTGAATTTCAACTTTAGTTTTTTTTATTTCCAAAGTGTTACACACAAACAACATTTAAACCCGTATAATTTCCTTTTAAAAAAATAACATTACACTAAATACAATTTCTATGGACTTTCTGGACTTATTTACGTCTAAAATACGCATCCGCAGTTCGTTCAAAACCATATGCTTATCACTCTGTGAGCACGCATTCAGACGTTTATTCATATTCAGCTAAGTTTACCTTCATTACAACTTTACATTTACTTTACTTTGCCATAATGTAGCTTCGGTTCGTTTCATAGACTGATATATACACACTTTAGCTACTTTTTTCTTTATGTGTAATTTTATTAAATAAAGTTTCGTCTACGTGAGTTTGTTTGATTGCGTAAAATTTTTCAAATAGAGCAGGATTTATCAATTTGACATATAATGCTTGCAATAAAGCATAGCTTAAATGGAAAATGTGGAAATAATAGAATAAGAAAAACTCAAGCGAAGGTCCTGAAAACTACCGCAAATGTTTTGCGAGTCGCGGCTAGTATTATCATTATTGGTCTTAATTTTTGTCAAATATCGTGTCACAATAGAGAATTAATCAGTTTTTTAAACGTTTTTGAGCTTTAAGACAACAAAAATATCTTTTAGTTTCTTTTTGTCTTTCTAAATATTAATACGAAATGCACGACTCGAAGAAAAGATTGTTTCTTTGTTTGTAATTAAGCACAAAACTACACAAAGGGCTATCTTTGCTCTGCCCACCACGGGTATCGAAACCCGGTTTCTAGCGTTGTATATCCGCAGACATATTGCTGTGCCACTGCTGGCCAAAGAAAAGGGAAGAAAAGTCAATATATATACAGAGTGTACGAAACAAATTCAAATTTATTTGCTGGAGTGAAGCTAGGGAACGTGTGCCACAGGGGCGCCAATTACGTCCGGGATTCAGGGCTCGCTTAAGAGCGTTGGAGCTCTTCGGTTCTGGATTAAATGTTACGCATTCTCCTGTTTTCCCGAGAGTAATTTTCATAATTTTGATGCATTTTTACTGGTACAGATTGAATAGTGGGAGGA